CTGATCTAACGCTTCACTCCCTCATGTTCCCTCTGTACTACTAGGTTTAATTGCTAGTGCTCCTGGAAACCCCTTTTTTAAGGAGATGTGCAGATCTAAGACAGCACAAAGGCATGTGACTAGAGTAACTGTATGTCCTGGTTTACTGGGGAGGGTCTCACTATAATTATTAGCGCCCCTTTCCCTCTTAAAAGTATCCCAATTTAGATGATAAATGAGATGCTCTCCCAACATAACACAAAATGGCTCTGTACTTTATATTTCTGGATTATAAAGTCATAATAAGAGCAGGTAGGGCAAAATGACAGATGGCCTTTGCTTTGACAGATGAATCCAATACAGAGGAACTCCTGGTGCTTGGATATTACTCCTTAAAGACTTCGAGGTACAGCTTATCAGAAATACATACATAAATTTCCTCAATGGGAAAGAAGGTCAGAGAAAATCAGGCTCCTTCCAGGGGCTGGGGTCTGGTGGGGTGGGGCCCAGTGATATTCTGCAAATAAAGTACCTAAACCAATTGTTGATTAGCGGGGAACTGGTTATCAGCCTAATTTTTGCAGCCCTGAACAAAACTTCTACTTCCTTTTCCTTTAGGCTCTTTTATTGTTCATTAGCTACTCCACCCACAGGCTGAAAGGCACAAGGAAAGAAAGTGAATAAAACATTATTTTAGCAGCCCTGCTAATACACCTGGTGGGAAAGAAAATGGAAAGAACTGGACTATTTCTGGTTACCTGTGAATTTAAATACTTTTGGCTCACCCCCTTTTTCCAAATTACTACCAGCTGGTTTGAGGGCTTGTTGAAGGTCTACTGATTGCCAGTACAATTAAAGTAATCTTGTATTTTTAAAACTACATAATCTTTCAGAAATAGGCCTTGGAAACTTTCCTTCCTGATTTACCAAGGACACAGAGAGGGCAAAGCAAGCCCCTTCTCATCTTATCAGGGCCCTCCCAATCTCCTTCCTCCCCTCAGCACCAATTCCTAAGTGCATGTGGATAGAATTCTCTAAAAAATATTTTTGAATGTAGGTAAAACATTATTTTAGGTTAACTTAAAACACATAGTATAATCACTATTATACAAACGGACCCAAATGGAAAAATCTATAAGCGGAAAAAGAAACTTATGTGCATGTAGATTGCATCACAAGTTTTCCTAGTTGCATCAGTAGGATAGTTATAAATACTTCCATGAGGCAACTACAGCATAAATGTTTAAAACAAGTTCTGTTCACATGTGTTTAAAATGTCTGGAAAAGAAACTATCCCAGCTCAAAGTAATATAGCCAGATGCTATCAAAGGCAGTTGAAAGGAACTTTCCAGTCCTCCTGCTAAATAACTTGAATGTCGATGGGTATTGTGTTAGAGTGGATGAAGCATTCAAAAACACCTGGTGAACTGGAATGAGATTATCAATGGGATCTCTGCAGATACAGAGGTGCTTTAATGGATGTGTGAGTGCAAGTGCCAGTGTGGCGGTGGGGGAGGGCTATTTGTTCTCAGCTTTCTGAACTGCCGCTCAGAGCCAGCCAAAAAGGCAGGAGGGGTTTGCTCTGTGGCTGAGAAAGCAACCCAAGCCGGTGTTTCCCCGGCCAGGCCCTGAATCAGTAGTAACACTCGCTGCTTGAGGAGAAGGCCTTATCTTTGATCTCTGTTAACAGTTAACCAGAGGCTTTTCCTTCCAGAGCTCTTCTAAGGTAGAAGCAGGTGGCCCTGGAAAACAATGCTGTCCGGAGGTCCCAAATAGTCAAAGTTAAATGCTTAGGTGTAGTTCAGCAGTAATTGAGACACTGAGCCTCCTGAGAGAATCGTTTCCCTTTTCTTAGGGATTTAGATGTAAGGTTTAAAAACCTCACTCTACATTTATATCTTGATTTATGCAATAGGGCATAAGTTGGTGAGTCAATGATATATAGCATTTTAATACACCTTCTCATCTTATTAGGGCCCTCCAATCTCCTTCCTTCCCTCACCACCAATTCCTAAGTGCATGTGGACAGAATTCTCTAAAAAGTATTTTTGAATGTAGGCAATAAATTATTTCTTAAATAAACATTAACTTAAAACAAATAGTATAATCACTATCATACTATTTAATAAGGAGTTCTATTTTAATATAAAATTTTTAGCTAGTCCATATGCTAAATACTGTGAGGACCACCTAGCGAGGTCTGAGAAAACCCTTGTTGATGATTAGAAAGGGAGAGAATACTGGCAATCAGAAGATCAATATCAATGAAAGGATTCCCCAACCATTTAAAATACTCAGTAATGGTGATTTTACCCACAGATTGAAGTATATATTATAAGGGAGGGGAAAATTTTCCTTTCTACCCTCCTTGAGTTCTTATGGCTGGACTAGTAATAAAATTGAAACAGACCAGATAAACAGGAGAAAAACCAACTTAATATGTGCACACAGGAGATCATAAATAATACTCAGAGAAATGATGAGCCAGCCCACCTTTTTATATTTTTTTAGACAAAGAAACAATAAATTTGTAAAGATTTCACAGAACAAAGAAACTTAGTTTTGAATGCTTATTTGTAAGAAATAGAAACAGAAAAAGGCCTGGGAGGTAAATGAGAAAAAATAAGGTTTGTTTACACAGGCTTCTAGGCTCTAAATTCCTTAGCTTTAGGCATCAGGGAGTCTCTCTCCACCCCCTTGGATCAAGGAGGACACCCTTCACAGGAGAGATTTATTTCCTGCATTCTAGGAGACAACGAGGGTCAATGTGCCCTTCTTGCACTGGCTGCTGGTCCAGTAACTTTAATTCAAAGTAATCAATATGCCAGTGTGGGATATTTGGGGGTAGCCTGCCCTGACCCTGACTATACAAATGGGAGGGGGCACCACTTTTTTTAGACCATCTCAGAGAGAGACTTGTAGGAGAGCAAATTTGCCACCCCAAAATGTGTCTCTTTGTCATAAGGACTATTTTAGCTGGTTATTTTTAAGAAACTGTAGACATAGGAAAAGCTCTAAAAACTGAGGTTACCCTTTAGTGAAAGACATGTATTTGTAAGTGTGTCTCCATCACTTTACCAGAAAGAGGGGGGTGACCTTAACTCTAGAAGGTTAATGGAGAGGCAAGGACTTAGATCTGCACAATAGCCCTACCCTTGTTTACTGGGCTTTTGCTGGTAACCTCTCATAACTCACTTCCACCCTCAAAATCTTCTTTTGTCTTATAAGCTGGCAACATTATTGAAGGTGGTAGCTTCTGCCATTTCAGAGAGTTACTCAGTTTTCTGGGTCTATCCCATGTATATAGAAGGTAAACATTATCAAACTTTAACTTGTTTTACTCCTGCTAATCTGTCTCACGTCAATTTGATTGTTAGATCAACCAGGAGAACCTAGAAGGGTAGAGGAAAACATGTGTATAGGATTCTTTTCACCCATGTCTAATGGCCTAGACATTATATAGATACTTCTGCAATCAGTGCTGAAGGTAAGTAAAAATAAGCAAAATATAACTACTTACTGTGTGCAAATAAGAAAAAGAATGTTGAGAAAAAATAAGCTTGAGTTAGAGTGAGTCAGAGTTGCTGAGGCCAGGAATATCATTGCTCACTCTGTATGTAGCTCTGGACATTGGGGTCGTGCTTTAATCTTGCTTCCCAAACATGAGATATAGACAAGAGTTTAATATAGAAAGAGAGGGTAAACCTCCAATTTTTGCATGATTTTGTACTCTCCTGGGTGAAATGTACTCACTAACAAATCATTTTGGCCGAGCGAGGCCCATCCCTGCATGGGAAGCCTGTGATCCCCAGAGGGCAGGGCCAAGGACTTGATACTGGCCATGTGCTCTGCCCCTTGGTGCTCTAGGTGATCCTGATAGCAGCTCTCAGACTCCTAGGCCTCTACTTCCCCACCTGGGGTAATTTTACTCCAGACACATCTTCTAGTTGCAGGGTCAGGTGTAGGGACCTATGGTACCATTTTCCAAAATTCTTTGAGTCTCTCCAAAGAAAAATACCATGAAAAAACCCCCCACTAAAGTACTGACAAAAAAAGAAAACTTTCCCTGGCACCTTTTCCATCCAAGGAACAACTATGGCAAATTATAACTGGAAATTCTGAGCAACTGTAAAATGAGAAGCAGTGAGTTTTTCCTTACTTCTCTGTTTCACAAAAGATGCACTGCAGATGGAGCCAAAGTTTTGATCTCAAGAAATCATCAAAGACCCTGCTTCAAAACCCAGGTTGAAATAAAGAGCAAAAGAACGGGGCAGCCAGCAGTGTAGCTGGAAGCACCTAACAGTGTGTCCTTTCTGGTATTAATTAATGTTGCCTGGAGCTTTAATGGATATGGGAGTGGGGTGGCCTATGCTTGTGCTATTTATTATTTTTCTATGTGAGCTCTTAATTAGTTCTATTGTTGACAACATAAAGGGGCTTTGCCAAATACTGGCTGGCTTAGCTTCATTAGTGTCTTCCCTTGACTTTAAATTCAGGCCAGCCATAGTCCCTCTCATGCTGGGCTCTGCAGCAGTCTCAGAGAGGAAGCGTGGAGTAGCATCTATATTGGCACCTTAAGGTCATGGTCCAACCCAGAGTTTTCCAAACACCTGAAGACTCATAATGTACATGAGCATAGTCAAGGCTCTGTAGCTTGACCAGTATAACTCTAACTCAAAATTTCCTTAACGTATCTATACAAAATTTCCCTAACTTATCTATACCTCTTCTTGATGTCATCCCAATTAACAAAATGCAGAGCAGTCAAGAGAGGCAAGTTGTTTGGGAAATGTTATACTCATCATAGATGCTAGAGAACATTTTTTTTTGTTTCAAACACTTCAGTGAATGAATTAAATTTGCTTGGAGTCACCCTAAGTTTTTCCTTCAAATGGAAGTATCAATATGGAATTTACTTTCCAGAAAATAAAAACACTCCCATGAAAGGCATACAGGAGCTCCTGGAATTTGCCAGAAGCAATGAAACACACACTGCTGGGAGCACAGCTCTGTTTTGGTACCTGTGGCTCCTGGTCATGACCGCTGGGATCCCTCTCATAGCTCTCTGCATACAGTCTGATGGTGGCCCGCATGCCACTGGAAGAACTGAGCCGGAAGATGAGCCGTGAAGCATCTGAGAAAATGATCCTCAAGCCCTGGGACAAAGGACATTCAGAATGGATCAGTGAACAGATGAGTACACAGGTAAAAAGAAGGAAATCAGCGTATTTCTATGATCTAGAGATGCTCAGGCTCATGACAATTTATAATTGGCTCTCAACACTCACCAAAGCAGGACCATGATGTGAATCTAAAGGCTACTTAAAATTACCCCTTAATCTCTTTATTCTATTTCTGTTGCCTTGTGGTTAATGCCAGGGCAAGAGCAAAACTGTGAATAAATGCTCAAGTTTCCTTGGTCTTGTGATGTGGGTGGAGGTAATAAGGGCCAAAGTTCATCCCTTATAAACCTAGGTGCAGTGGAGTTGGGCCATTTATCTATTACAGTAAAACAAATTACCCATGTTGAGGTCACCACCATGTGATGTTAGGCTTTGCTTTAAGTTCATCTTTGTTTCTTTCCTTGTTTCCACATTTTTCTGGCAGTAAGGGAACCCTGCAATGAAATGCTCAGGACTAGAGCCTCAGCTGGATTCTGACAGCTCTTATTGACATCCCCATCCTTTTGCCTCTCTCCTTCCTTCTTACGAGAAAGACCTGGCTACCATGGTGGGGTGGAGACAGAGCTGTGGCTGTACCTCAGTGCTGCTCAGTATTAATATGTTTTTGGCTCAGAATGTCCCCATTCTCTATGCCTTTCTTATTAGTGGCAGAGATATTTAAAAAATATAACTGTAAAATCAGACAGTGACTTCTGTTGAAGGAAACTTGTTTTCTTAAGACAACTGATAAAGTCATTGTTATAAATAAGCATGTTGACAAGAGCCCGAAGAAAAAGTAGGGAACAAAATAGTATGTCTGGTCACTTGTTACTTCAGAAAAAGTGGGAATCTCGGGTAACTTTGATATTAGACATTTTCCCTAAGAAATTTACCCTTGAAATTTCTCTGGTCTCAAATCTTGCTTGTTAAAAATAAGCCATTATTAAAAATATCTCATACCCTGGCCAGTGTGGCTCAGTTAGTTGAGAGTCATTCTATGCACCGAAATGTCGCCGGTTTGGCAGAGACAACAAGATGGCGGCGTGGGTACCCACAGTACCCGCCGCCTCCTGCAACCGCATCAAAATTACAACTAAAATACAGAATCACCATCATTCAGAACCTCCTGAAATCTAGCTGAACAGAAGTTCTATAACGAGGGAACTGAAGAAGCAACGAGACTGGTAGGAGGGGCGAAGAGTGGGGACTAAACCTGAGCTGAATAGCGGAGAGGCGGCCGCCATCTCACACCCGGTGCCGTGGTTTAAAGCCAGGAGGGACATCTCCGTGGTGGAGGTTTCCCGGACGAGTGAGGGGTGCCAGCCCTACATCAGGCCCCCAGCCCATGGTTCCAGTGCTGGGAAGAGAAGTCCCCACACCTTCGGGCTGTGAAAACCAGCAGGGATTGTCGCTGAGGGTCCCAGAGGCTGCGGGAGCCCCAGGCAGCTCCTCTTAAGGGCTGGCTCACAGACTCACTCAGATGCGCTCCCTCTGAGCCCCAGCACCAGGCAGCAGCTTGAAAGGTACCTGGACATTTGGGAAGGAATTAACTTGCCTGGAAACAGGGCGAGAAGTGGAGGGGAGGCTTTCTCTCAGGCAGAAGAGCTGGCAGAGGCCATTATTCCTTTGGCGAGCCCTCCCCTCATAGCACCCACAGGCAGGTGCCTTTTCTGAATCTCCAGCAACCTGACTCACAGCTTTTGCCCCTCCCTACCTGCAAGCTCATCCAAGCCATTTCCAGTGGTTTTTCTATACAAGTGGCTTCTCTTGCCTCAGGCTTTGGACTTTCCTAAAATCTCTCAAACAAGCAGCAGCTGGACTTAGAGTGCCCCATACCTCTCAATAAGTGGCCCCAGGCCTGGCACTAGCAGCAGGCTCCATTGGTTCATAGCTTGGCCTCTCCTGGGCACCTCTGAGCCCAACACAAGTAGCAGCCATCTACAGATTGCTGTGTAGTTCATACTGGGTAGCCCTGGGCAGGGCACAGGTAGAGGCTGGCTCTGCACCTCCCAGGAGGCCCCAGAGGCAGAGTACCTGGTGGTCAGCTTCAACCATGCTGGATTACAACCCTACCACATCCACGAGTGACACACTCAAGGGGCAGACTCGGTGAACACCAAAGCTCTACTGAAGTAAGTCCTGCTCCATAGGGGTTTCTCCAGCACAGCAGCTCTTAGGCTGTAGTTGCAGCTGGTCCTCACAGCTGATTGGCATGGGGGTCAGTTCCTCCCAGTGACACCAATAGCAACCAAGGCTCAACTACAACAGGACAGTGCACACAATACACAAGGGGAAGCACCTAGAAGGCCCAGCTCCCATGATGGGAGACTGAGTCACTGGGCACTACAGGACACCTACTACACAAAGCCACTCTACCAATTCCAGGAGACATAGCAGCCCTACCTAATACATAGAAATAAATACCAGGAAGCCACCAAAATGTGGTGGCAAAGAAACATTTCACAAAAGAAAGAACAGAAGAAATCTCCAGAAAAAGAACTAAATGAAATGGAGCCAAGCAAGCTACTAGACATAGAGTTCAAAACAATGGTTATAAGGATGCTCAAGGGTCTTAGTAAGACTATTAAGGAAACTAGTGAGATCATCAATGACACATCAAAGAACCAGTCAGAAATGAAGGCTACACAAACTGAAAGGAAGAATAATTTACAGGAAATCAACAGTAGAGAACTCTGAGAATCAAATCAGCAATATGGAACATGAGGAAGCAAAAAACACCACCAGAAGAGCAAAAAGAGTAAAGGATCCAGACATATGAAGATAGTATAAGGAGTCTCTGGGACAACTTCAAGCAGCCCAACATTCACATTATGGTGATGCCAGAAGGAGAAGAAAGAAAACAAGAAATTGAAAACCTATTTGAAAAAATAATGACAGAAAACTTCCTCTACCTGGGGAAAGAAATAGACTTACAAGTCCAGGAAGAACAGAGAGGCCCAAACAAGAANAAACCCAAAGAGACCCACACCAAAAGACGTAATTAAAATGCCAAAGGTTAAAGACAAAGAGAGAATCTTAAAAGCAGCAAGAGAAAAGCAGTTAGTTACCTACACAGGGCACCCATATGACTAATTTCTCAACAGAAACTTTGCAGGACAGAGGGAGTGGCAAGAAATATTCAAAGTGATGAAAAGCAAGAACCTACGACCAAGAATACTCCACCCAGCAAAGCTATCATTTAGAATTGAAGGTCAGATAAAGAGCTACACAGACAAGTAAAAGCTAAAGGAGTTCACCACCAAACCAGTACTACGTGAAATGTTGAAGGGCCTTCTTTAAGAAGAAGCTAATGAACAAAAGAAACTGACAAACAAAATAAACCCAGAGAAGCATGCAACACACAGCTGTATCTCAGAGGGAAGAGGGAAGGGGGGGTAGAAGGTGAGAAGAGATTAACCAAAGAAGTTATATGCATATTTGCATAACCCAAGGACACAGACAATAATGGGGTGAAGGTCTGGGGAGGGGGTGGGAGCGAGGTGGAGGGGGTGAATGGGGAAAAAATGGGACACCTGTAATACTTTCAACAATAGAGATAAATTAAAAACTAATAATAGTTAAAAAATTTTAAAAAATATATGTTCATGACTATATTCTACTCGTTATATCCTAGATGATATTCTGGCTATGAATTCTATTTTGTCTGAAATTAAATTTACAACACTGTGTTCTTGAAAAAAATAAAAACATATTAAAAAAAAAAAAAATCTCATACCTGCCATATAAATCTCTTACCTCACCCCATCTGGTGATATCACTGGGGGGCACTATGACTCTATAGAAGTGTTTTTCTGCTTTTTAAATCTTTTGGGCATATTTTGTTCCAGTCCCTAAACAAAAAGCCTTAGTCTCTGTTGGAAGGGTTCAAGGTCTGCCACAGTTTGTGCAACAAAAAGGAGCCATCCCCCTTCCTGGCAACTCACCACTCTATGATACTAGTTTTGCAAACAAGATGATATTATTCAGGATTCATTCACTGGGCAACCATTTTTGGGTGGCCATTAGGGCTCAGGTACTGGACAAAGCCTGAGTAGATAAAGATAAAGACACAGTACTTGTTCTCCATAAGCCTGAAGTAGTTGATTACAAAGTACAGAAACCATTTTCTTAACCACCATATGCTGCTAGACAAGTGAATAATTAGGAAATTCCAAATGGAACAAAAGGAACAATTCCTTACTATCCAGAAAGAATGATATATCAAATTATGTCCAAACTGACAATGAAGCCCCGAAGGTTCCACAATTGTATACCATGTTTTTACAAACTCTTCTGAAGCTGTTATTTCTGTCTAAGCCTACTTTCTCACTGTTACTACTTATGGCACACATGAGTTCATAATTCATTGCTCAGGACCATGGGTTACCCATAAACTGGTTGAAGTAGTATCTAAGGCTGGAGCCCTAAATCACCCATTGATACAGATTCCAAATCACTTGAGGCCACTTCTGATGACCTCCCCGACTTAACCCTTTAAAGTAGCTCCAATTACACAACCCCACAGATTAGTTTATGGCCAGGGGGAGGTATTCAAAAATCCAGATCATAGCAAACTATCAACATGTATTATCTGCTCGTTAACTAAGCCTTTTTACAGTGAAATCATTATTTTTTCCTAAGGGCTGGGCAGCTGTATTTTTGGCTGTACTCACAGAAGATTTGTTAGAATCTACATCTGGTAGCCTGGAATAGATTTTGCACTTGAAAAGATGATGGAGTAAATAGCACACACCTACTGGACATAATCCAACATCTTCTCTTCTTCCTAAGCCAGGAGATCTTAATAGAGAATGCATGTTGCTTTGTGAGACCTCCAGGTGAGAAACACAATTCCCCTTCTCTACATGAAATAAAAAAAAGTTTAGACCCAGCCCAGTTCTGCGCTGCAACAACCCTAGTTCCATGTATGTTGAGTGTCACTGTGATGTGTGAATAGTTATATTGGATTGCTCTGGGGTCCACATTTTCCTCCA